AAAAAGGAAACTACAAGTAGTCTTATTGCTGACTCTCATCAAATTACACAGCGTTGAAGAGTCTCACCTTATTGAGCTCCCTGCAGAATGATTCCTTTGAATTTTTATCCAGCCATTTGTTAGCTTTTGCTTTAGATTTTCCAGAGGATTCCTGAATGCAAATAAAAATGAAGGGGAATGATTTATCTGAGAATCAGTGCATTATACTTGCATGCATATACAGCATGAAAATGTAACACATAACATATTGCTTAAGAAGAGGTAGTCTGACAGTGACTTTATTATGAACCAAAATCATACCAGACACCTACCTTTCCCTCTGCTTTTTCCTTAATTTTGGCATTCTTCTTAGCTTCAAGCTTCCTCTTCTTTTCATGTTCTTTCTGTCTGTTGAGCTTCTGCTTTTGTTTTAGTTCTTCAAGCTAATCACAAACAAAACCCCAAGTCAGATAAAACATACTTGAAGGTGGTAAGGAAGACTCTTCTTTCTCCCTATTTACTTATTTCTGACCAAAGTTCCTGAGACAGCTCAGTCAGAAGTTATGACTGTCCATGGGACACTGAGAACTTTTTTTGCATCCTACCCTGAAAAGAATAGTTGCCTTCAATTGCCTCAAAACATTCACATTTCCAGCATGTTTATACACACAATGATGAAATGGAGGTTAAAAATAAAAAAGCAAATTGTTACATACGTACTGTATAATGCTGGAAATAAATACAGGACCATTTACAATAAACCATGAGTGCACCTCTGGGTGCACACATGTGCCTACACAGGCAAAGCTCCCCTGAAAACAGGAATGGTCTCGGTTCTTGAACTCTTTACCACAAACTATATTTTACCCTCTGCTTTCTTTGCTCCGCTTCCCGTAGAAGCTTTTCCTTAAATGGTGCAGCACTGGGAACACCAGGGTCTTTCTTGGGCTTTTTGCGTCCACGTTTTTTGGCCTCCTTCCTGACTTTTCGGTGGTGTTCTCTGATCTGAAGACAGGAACAAGAATATTTTCTCAGTCTCAAGAAAAAAAAGAAAGGGGGCTGTATCCCTCCTGTTTACAGAGTAAGAATCAGTACGTTTCTGATTTAGACTGATGTGTTTTATTGTCTAATATCTCATCACAAAGCTACACTTGAACATACCAGTCCAAAATAATGCAAAAAGCAATGATGCGAAAAACCTACACTCTTAAATCATCCCCGGGCCAATGGTAGCTGGAAAGGTAACTCCTCGCTACAGCCCAGACTCCACGACATCCAATATAACGTCCTTACTGTGTACATGTACACGTTTCTGTAATAGCACATAAAAACCCGCTTTTGGCGCTGAACTAGTCAGCTTGGAGCCCCCACTGGCCACAGCCCCCCCCCGCCCCGAGGGCTCCGCACCGCCCGGGGCCGCCGGCTCTCACCTTCTTCTGGATCTTGTAGCGCTTGTGGCATGTCAGCCTCTTGCTCGCCTTCCTCAGCTCTGCAACGCACGGCGCCCGTCAGCGCTGGCTCCCCGCGG